GTACGCTTTTATATATTATATTAAACCATTACCAAAATGAATAATTTAATATTTTAATAAATATATTATCTGAACTATGTTAACCTTAAGAAACTTAATTATTCACCTTCGCATATAAGTGCCTATAATATACTGTTAAATATTTATGAAGTAAGCAGAGGCATTTTCTATATGATATCTGTTTGCATGCAAAAAGACAAAAAAAAAATGTAAATAACTTAAATATTGTTATTATAAATATTATATTTTTTTCATGATTTTGAGAGGAGTGAATTTGCTCATATATATACGCAATATTGCTGCTGTCAGACATCTCTTTGCTCCGTTATATTCAATCATTTACGCACAGCTGCTCGAATGTCCACTTTTTGGGCTTTTCTCTCGTAATATATTGCTACTTGGGACAGGTTCAATTATTTATGACGGATTCATTTAGCCATAAGCAAATCGATCAATCAATTGCCAAACGCTACACAACAGCGTTGCAGGCTACGCTGACACGCCTACATTATCGACAAATGAAACGCCCGCAACGGAAACGTAAACGCAGAACATGACCGAGGGCCATGTAGTGGTTGGCGTGCCACGTGCCATGCAGAAACTCCCTGCAGATTTTCGATTAGTTTATTTATCATATCAATCGGAGCATTAGCTATTCTGCACATCATTCTTATTGTGGCGATTAGTTATCATTTAGCAGACAATTATCAAATCGCTTCATGCATATGGCCTAGGCTCATCTGTCAATCAGTTCGTTCTTCATTACTTTGAGATGATTGAATTAGATTAGGCTCTGGTTGAGTTTGTGTTTTTGCATGCATTTAATTGGCCTGGCTGATGGGTTTGTAATGGATCTTATGATTGCCATCAGGGCGCAACTAAAATAAGCTGCCAATGCCTTGATAGGTCAAAGGTTGTCACGACTCGATTCAGTCGCTGTGCCCGCAGGTCCTTGATAGCCAACGTATCGCCATTTGTCATTGAGGATTATCAAGGTTAGCCAACAAAGTTGTATTGATTTGACATTAAAGCCCGCTGGTTCCTGCGGGGCTTAAACAGGCTATTGACGCTTGGGGCAGACTAGAACTAATTAAAAATCAATAAAAGTCAGATTGTGCGCGTCAGTTTTAAAAGGCATTTCACAGTAAATGTTAGCTGAGGGTTAACTTTAGCCAGTAAAATACAACTTATGCAGGGCTTTTGGCTTTACGTTTAATAATTTGAGACCTTGTACATATATGCATGTGCATACTCCACGGATTATGAGCACACAAGAGCCCTGCGACTCTGTTGCTTCCTAGCGGGAATGCTTATGCAAATATGCAGCCAGTGTGTGGGTGGAAAATCCGGCACGAGTGCAACAAAATCTAATAAAAATAAAAAAGGATAACGTTTTAACCTCAGCTGCATGAGCACATGGAGCCAAGTGCGTTACAAACCCGGCTAAATTCCATTTCATCCCCTGGCATAAAACCGCTTAAGCTGTCGGCGACGTGTTGCCATAGCAAAAGTCATAAAAGAATTGCCGCCTGCACGTAGAAACTTAAATCATTGCCTCACTAATCATGAAATACCCATACACCAATGGGAGCAGAGTGGAAGGCGTGGAGGAGCGAATATATATATCCACTATATGTAGCAATTCTTAAAGCACGGCCAGCGCAATGCGGCGAGGCACATAAAACTTGCGCAATTGCGCATAAATCTTCCACAGGCAAAATGGCCAACTGTAGTTGTCTGTTGTTAGAGCTGAAGTTTTGCATTCGTAGCGGGTGTATTGGCTTTTGGGCTACAATAAAAGTCAATCGTGCGGGATGAACGTGGGCGCCACTCAGCAGCGGCTGTGTGGACGGCAGGTGTGTGAATTATACTGTTCTGAACAGGTGCTGCCGAGGTGTTATTTGATATTGAGATGCCAAGGCCAATTTCGAGCAGGCAAATCATAAATTCAGAAACACATTTCATCACATTTGCTACGATGAAAGAAACCTTTTCAAAAGATTTGTTAAGAAGGCAAAGAGTGATCGACTCGCAGATACTATCTTTGGCAGGAGCTTATAATTTTATATCATGTGAGATATCTTTCAAATTAAAATAGATTTTTTTTTATATACAAGCAGATTTATCTATGCTGTATTAGCTTATCTTATTCCAGAATTCATTTACAAGTATTGTGTAGGATATATACGATGAATTTCTTAAAAAATATGAAGGTTTGGAGAACCTAACGATTGTTTAATCCTTTGACATCTATCGCACGTGCTTGGCATTCAAAAAAGGTGTAAAAGAAATCTGTATGGGGCTTCTGAGATGGACATAACAGAGCGCTGGCAAGTACCTGAATCATGGTTGTTTTTTCAGATTATCTTGTGTATATATGAAATGATAAGATACTCTGAAAAGTACACCACGTCCAGAGAGTTTTTGTTTCCTTTTTTTCAGCTTTTGTTCACTGAATTCAAGGAAGTGTTTCATTACAAAGTCAAAGTTTTTGTATCCCTAGCTACTCTTTTTTACCTCTAGCAAATAGTCTCTCGTAAAAGGCTTCTATTAACAAGCCCAGTTATTTTTAACACCTAGTCAAACACGCTAGTCTTTTTATAGGGTATTGGCGTGCAGTTGCGTGTCGCTGGTTGAAATCAAACAACTTTACAACATGCAAACAGCCAACGGCAGCACATAAATCTGCAAATGTGATAAATGGCTGTAAAGCGTAGCTTAATGTTTATTTTAAATAATGATGATGAGCAGCATGTGCCACGGCTCGTCGGTGCGTATCGTATGCAAATTTGCCCGGCACATTACGTAAAATTGTCAAATGCCAGTTGAGAGTGGCTTGTTGAAGGTCTCCTCCATGGGGTTCCCAGCTCGCTAGCTGCTGCTGCTGCTGCGGCTGCTTTTCCGCTCTCAATTATTCATAAATTGCGCATACATTTGCGCTCATTACGCATACGCCCCGTGTGCGTAAATTGCTTTCAGTCTACCTCTGTATCTATATTGAAATGACTGTCAGTGCGCATACATCAGCCAGCACATTAATTTGATTCACACAGCGACAGGTGCGGAAATTGTTCTTATACTTTTCATATGCCCTGACATTTGACTTGGTCGCATTAGCATTATTTTGCATATTTTAATGCCACTGCCCGCCCATCAGCTCAGCTTATAAGCTAGCCAAGCTGCTGCGTCTTTTTGTACTCGAAAACTTTGGGCAAACTTCTGATAATTTCTGTCAAATGTTGTTTACGATACCTACGCAGCCGAATAATTTACCCACGAAATCGAAAAAGTTTTTGCCGGTTTCTAAGCATTTGTTCTTGCCCCACATCCCGTTATTATTGTTATTGTTGCTGTTGGCCTATGTGTGGGTGCGACGTTCTATAAGTCAGCGCAGATTTGCATACAATAAGTGAGTGCGCACAGTTTTATGGCCGAGATGAATATAAATGAATAAATTTTGACACAGGCTGCTATTTGTATTTGACACTAATGCGCTTTATTTATATCCACATTGGATTTAGAACGTCAACAAAGTTTATGGTAATTTATTTAATTGACGAGCTTAACAACAGATGGCATATAATAACCTGGCCTCTCTCTAATTCAGTTTTATTCGGCTTCACTTTTTGGATAACTCAAAGAAAGTCTTGACTATTATTAGCTTAACAATCGAATGAAAAGCATATCTCTGAACGAAATCAGACTTTGAGCAACTCTTCCATATAAGACACATTCAGATAAGATCTCCTGAGATACATTTTTAAAATAAAGCAAAAGCCAATGTCGTCGTATTAGCTGTCTGAAGAGACAAACACATTTATTTGCTTATTTCAAGTAACCATGAAATTTGACGTAATAAATTTTTTATTTTCATGTGGTATTTTGCCCTCTAATGCGTCATGGGCTCAGGGTCATCCTCGGCTACGGCTTATGGCAGGCTAAATACACACAAAACACACGACATGAGTAATGACAACTTTATCGCTCATCTGTTTGGTTTGTGTGTCCCTTCGGATTGCTCAGTGGGGGGTCGGTGGCACTTGTCAGCGTTTCTGTTTTAGAAGCATATTTGATTATATTGTTTTTTGTGCTCTGTTCGGCAAAGTTTCGAAGATATTTGTGCTGTTTGTCTCGTGCTAACGGATACGGATATTCTATTGCTTGTTGATACTCCCTTGTCGCATGAATTCGAGATTGCCTCAAAAGCTGCGTGAAGTAACCAGAATATGACTTGCCCTGGGAACAACAACTCATGGATTATGAATGTTATGCCCATATTTTTCATAATATTTCATCTATTATGCAAGAGGCCACTCGCCAGACACCAGACGGCTGACATACACATTTGCTCAGCCCCAACCAAAGCAGCTTGACTCAATGCCGTCATTAGCATTAACAAATGCCCGCAACGTGAGGGTCATCAATCTGAGGAAGAATGGTCCAAATGTGCACTCTAAATCGCACACAAACGAGTTGCCTTGGCGTTTATTATTCTTTTTCAAATTTTATTATTGTAGACACAATTTTGATGCAATATAATAAAATATTCTAGAATCCTTTATGTATTAAAAAAAAGAAGTCCGTTAAAATCATATTGTTGATTAAGGAAGAACTTTTTTTGTATAGTTGAAATTCATTTTTAATTAACTATGAATATATATGTATATAAATATATATTTATATATATATATATTTGGATATGTGTCCATGTTTCAATATCAATGCTTATGGATAGCAGATAGAGGAATATCAAAATCATTCACTTAAAGATATGGAAGAACGTTCGATTTGAGGTGAATCGAAATTCCCATTCGATAAATAGATGTATCTTAAAAGGAACAAAAACTTAATTATGTTTTATTCAACCAGATGCACTATGTACTTAAATATAAGAAATTTATTTCATTCTTAAATGTTAATTTGGAAAATAAAACAAAAGAATTCTTGGCAATTGCCGTCAAAGTAAATTAAGTCTTAAATGTCAACAGGAAAAGAAAACATTTTTATATAGAATATGTAGTGAAATGTGTTACTCCTGTTAGGCCGGTCTGGAAATAAAAAAAACATTAAAATCCAATAAAAATACCGAAAATAGTTTTTTTTTCTATATATTTAAACAACAAATTTTAAGTCCATTTCGATGCAGGCTCATCATGCCATGCCTGATTTCCGATGCCGGAATAATTGCCAGCACAAGGAATGCCAGCGCCATGCGCCGCTGGGTATTATTGATCAGCACACACAATGCAAGTGCTTGGGCGAGGTCAATGCCTCGTCGATATTTCTGGAGAATGTGCTCGACTTGGCCAACTCCCTGGCGCAAATAATGATCCTCTGCGGCTTACACGAATGCAAGGCCAAGTCAACAGTTGACATTATTTCATATGCCTTTCTGCACTACGATCAGGTTTGCTACTGCATTGATACGATACCCAAGAAACGGCTACGCAAAGAAGACATCTTCCACGAGCTTGGCAAAAAGTCACTGATGAACAAGGTGGAGGCACACCTTGCATATAACATCATTAAGCGCGGATTCAAGGCCTATTATTACGAACCGAAACAGGAGCTGACCTATGATGATCAGGGGAGACCCAGCTATAATGACGAGTGCATATGGGTGCATGCGGCACGCAAGACAGCCGAGAGCTTTGCGCGCTTTGACGGCCTCTCCTGCAATGAGCAGATGGCTTATGAGGCCAAGATCAAGATAGTGTATAAGAAGTTCTACGACCGCATGCAGACCCGCAAGCGCCAACCAGAGGGCGATGACTGCAATTGTTGCTTCTGTGCAAAGAAACGTGGACATCTTGTCTATGCTAAAGAGCCGGTGCCTTGCAGTACCAAGCGCAAGCCGAAGCACGTATGCCCCTACTGCTGCAAGAAGAAGCAGAAGCAACAGTATACTCATCCAGCTCGTCAGCCAGCCAAGTGTCCCAAGTGCCACAAGTCACGCAAGTTCTGCTGCTGTGCCAAGATGGACTTCAATCTGCAATGGGTCAAGAGTATCTGGGATCGTCCTGATTTCAATCAATATTATAAAAATGAAATCGCCGAGATCGAACAGCGTTTGGTCAAGGGCTCCTGCTGGCTGCCACCAGAGCCAACAGGCGCAGACGGTGGCGTTGGCGAGGCTTTAGCGGAGGAGGAGGATGAATTCTCACCTCAAACACAACTGGCTCTAGGCGGCAAGAACGTTGGCGGCCCAATCAAAGAAGACGAAGAAGAGCAGGAAGAGGGTGCAGCTGCTGTAGACCCCGAACAGGCACCGGAACCATCCAAGGACGAGGAGGAATAAGCCGTCAACGAAATTCGAACAAAATTTGACCAAAAGGATTTAATTTGAAAATTATCCAGTCTTGTTAAAAATTTAATGTAATTATTGATTTAAACTAACCTTTAGCTAATAATATGAAGTTAAGCAATGGCTGAATCTCTAAGCTGGCACACAAATTTTAGTTAGTTAGGTTATTCAAGAGACTTAGGGATTTATTTCATTCGCCAATGTTTTTTATGTAATCTAGCTTTAAAATGTAATCCATACATATTTCTGGTATTCTTGAGGCCTCAACAGCTTTTTGCCCTCCACAGACAACATATGAAGCCCTTATGGCGTACGAGTTGGACGTGTTGCTCTGCTCAGCTATGCACGCGTCTAAGCACACTTCATCAAAGCTGCAAGCCGCTCAACAGCTGTTGCTGCTGTTACTGCTGATGCAGCTCGAGTGTTGCCTTTCAACAGTAACTCGTGGCCACATACAAGGTTGCCCTCGCCGCAGTTGCAAACTGCAGTCATTTACCTCGAGTACGAAATCCAACCACTCAACAGTTCTTTGATCCTGGCTTATTCAGATTCTAAATGGAACATGCTGAGCTCTGCTCCAAAAGTGTGTCCATAAACTACTTTGCTGTGAACTAATTGCACGAAGTTCGTTCATTCATCTTGCTGGCAATTTTAACTTTAAAATATACTTGTTATTTTGTAACTGCTTGTGTAAGTGCTCAACTATGTCATAAGTAGCCCCTTAACAATAATAACAGGTACTTGGCATATAATTAGGCAACTTTTTATATAGAGCTGTTCGCCGAAATAACAAGAAAACTTCAAATGTTTCGATACTTTAAGAAAACTTCAGCAAAACAAGGGTTGGATTATTATTAACTGAAGCAAGCAACAGTTTACTGTTTTGCTTGATAATTCTTACTGAGAATTTAAAGTAATAGCGAGAGGTTGTAAAAGATGTTCGAGAATATATGGCGTATACAGAAACTAAGTTCATTTCCCAACACAAAAGCTTGCTTATTGCTTTAATTCATACGATACCCAACAAATCAATTCAAGCCATGACAATTTTATTTGTCAGTTTAGTTGCAGATATATATGGTTTCCGACACGGGAAGCCACAAATTTTGCTACCATTTGCCATCCAATTACACCCAAAGCAGTGATTCGAATTCAAGTCCAAGCCTAACCAGCAAGTGTCCTTGCACCTGGCAACTGATTGGCTGGCAATTTGAATGTGCTTTGCGGTTGACTCGTCAATGTCCCTAAATATGCATGCCTGCTGCAAATAATTGCCAGAAAGCAAGCTAATTTATTTTTGGTATTTTTGATAAGCCGCAGAAACCACAGAGCTCGAAACTTTACAATTTGTTGAAATGTTAATGTATTTATTGGCCATTTACAATGCAAATGGATAATTAAATATGCAAATATGTTGCACTGTTGAATATCAGGCCATTAAATTATTTATTTCGTACATTAGATAAAAACAGAAATAAAATTACATAAATTTGCGTATTGATTGTCGAAAGAAAACTTGAATGTCTTTATCCACACTTAATTGATATTGTTTGAATTGTAAAGTGTGGGCTTGAGTTTAATTGAGGTTCTGAGTGAAAATATAAGCTAACTTTAAAGCTTTTTATGGTGATAAGCCTACAGCTTATATTTGATTAAGCTGTAAAGTTTCAAAGAGTTAGCTGCAGGCTTCAAAAAGTTCATTAAACTAAAAGTTGTCAAAACAATTTTTATGGCATATACAGAAACTGAGCATGTGCCCATGTGAGCTGGCTTACAAATTCAGACAAGACAAATCAATTTACATACAAAAAATATAAAAAAAATATAGAAATACATGTCTAAGGAGATTTGCCTCACAACTACAGCACCTGAGAATATAGAATATAAAATATTATGGCATTTCAACACTAGCCATATATATATACATATATATCTTTATGCACATCTATATTGAATTGCTTTTAATGCTCGCAACCAAATTGGATATTCAAAGCCAGACGCAGTCAGTTGCAGCCACAAAGCCACAAAAACAACAGCAACAACCACTACAGCGAACAACTTAAGATGTTGGCCAAGGATGGCCCAGCTTCTGGAAGCCGCACAAAAGTCACAAGTGGATTTTTAGTGTAAATGCAAATGCGCTCAGCGAATGCGCATCTGCAACTGTAACTGGGGTCACAAGCAAAGCTTGCTTTATCCGTTATGGCGTTGGCACTGCCTTGGCTGGGTTTACGAATCATTTCCATATGCTACACTCTCCTTTGAAATTGGACTTTATATATGGACGCTGCCGGTCTAAAAATATTTTCCTGTCAACTGCCTAAAAGCATGCAGCACTCAGAGATACAAAAATAGCAGCAGTTGAGTGTTGTAATGTGGATAACGATGCACAGCTTTGCTCGGCTGAGACATTTACATAACTATTGTATAACTATTATAAAATGTCAAAAGTCAAGAGTCGAGGTCATAGGCGAGAACTTGAATATTATTTGAATAATTTGTTCTGCTCGACAAATTCATTAAACAATCATAAATTATACATAAAATTGCAATTGCAAAGAAAACCACTTAAATTTCCATTATATTACAGATGTTACACTTTAAAACCAGCCACGGTCACAAATCAATAAGCCACGCCCCCCACGTGACAGTTGTTTGTCTGCCAGGATTGCCTTTTCGCATTCAAGTCGCTTTGGCTTAATGAAAAAGTGATGTTCTACATGGTGTACGCTCAACGTGGCGTATGGGCAATGCATGAAGGTCCTCAAAGGCCGACCTTCCCAGCCAAACTGACTTCCTGACTGTTGCCATAGTTGTTTTTACGTATTCAATAGGTTAGTTTTTTTCCCCTTTTTGTGTGCTCCGCAAAACATTTATAGCTCTAGTGCGCACTGTAAGTACCCACAAATAATGAATGGGTAGCAGGACAGCAAGCAGAAAAAATATGTGTATATTTATATATATATACATATATATATGTTTGTATGCGAAGGCAACGCGAAGCGGAAAAACACTTTTACTCGAGTCGCTGTCGACAGCCCGTAAAATTGACAAGCCGTAAAAAATATACGTATAGCGCACCCATGCTATTTGCCGAATGGTTGAATGCATGTAGAGCAGCAACTTTGCTCTTTGATGACCCATAGACCAACGTCAAATAATATTGCGCCATAAAAGCGGGGCATTGTGCAAAGTAAGCTGAATATATATTTCAGGCATTTACTTAGTTATAGCCAGCTGCCCCTGCGTCTCGCGCTCATTACTGTTATACAAGCCATAAAAGTATGCATAATGTGAATACTTAAATAGGTAGAAAGGACCACAGACTTCATTGCGTCGCGACATTTAAAAATACACCGTGAGTAATGCTGAAAATACGCATCGATTTCAGCAGCGCGAAAAGAATTCGATCGATCGATCGATTAAATTGAATTTAGGGGCTTCGGAGACTTATAAACGTTTTCCGTATCGAATTGGAATTGATATGTATATAAAGCAAGGATATATATAGTAGAATATCTTTTATTACTAAGTGCATTAACAAACAGGAATTATAAAGTTATTGAAACTTACTTTGAAACAAGTTTAAATCAATTAAAATCAATTAAATTACATAAACTAATTTATATGCAGATTGTATCTATACCCTTTATGCAAGACGCGCAAGAGAGCATTGCTAACCTTTTTATCTGTCGTCACTTTCCAAACTTGATTTCAGTTCAGTTCAGATTATGTTCGTTTCAAATAATCGATTGGTCAGAGTACTTGCTAGTCGGGAACACTCGCACTCATATTTTTTTAGACAACAAGGAATTCATAAATATGCATGCAGATAAACACATTGTCAAGGTCGTCTCAGTCAGCAGTGGCATTTCTTCAAAGTCTTTTGCATTTTCTGTTTTACTATTTCTCCTGCCAGATAATCTTGGCAGGTGCGAATACAGTTTGTCTCTCTCACATATACAGCATTGTTAAGCGACTTTATTCAGCTCGAGAGCATAAGATAAGCGCAGTGCCAGTCTTATACCAGTAAGTTACACAAAAGATGCAGAAAAGTGGATTTATATAAATGTATACCTGTAACAGACATATAAGAACGTCGTAGTCACATGCAGAGTGATGACAAAGACTGTGTTTGACTAGCATATTCTGGCCAGATATTGACATAGTGACTTACTAAGAGTGAGACCTAAGGCAATATGTGGTAACACATCAGCTCCACTCAGGGATTCAGATACAGTTACATGTGCTGAATATAAGATTCCAACTAATAATTGCTGTATACTCACTTAAAGGAAATATATCTTTAAGCTTTCAGTTGACTGAATTACGCTTCCTGGAATCAATTTGCTGTGATAAGACGATTTAAGAAATTAATCGAGAGGAAAAGTTATGAAAGCCTTAAGTTTGTAAGCATAATGGGGTCTCGCTAAGTCAATCAGTCAAGTGGCTCTAATGGTTCGGTAATCTGACAAGCAAATTCTTTTTATTTTTTTCATTTCACTCACTTTAAACGGAGTTTGTGAATCGTTCTCAATTAATTATAATGCTTGTGCCATTATGTGGCACTGTTGACAGTCATATGTGCTTAATTGGTCTGGGCTAACATATCCATGACCTTGTTTTAGGCTGTTTTCTGCTCGGCTGCGTTCACGCGGCGTATGCGTAATGAAACTGCCCGACAGTGGCGAGCTGAGCCCGTTTGCGAATGCATATCTAATAAATTTATAGATTTGCATACGAATGGCCCAGTTTACACAAAATTGCCAAGCAAATCGCAAATCACAGCTCGGCTCGTATAATTAAACTGTCGACATAATTAAATTTATCGCACTTTTGATATATTTGCTACGCTGTTGCCATTTTATGGCATTGGCAAATTGCTTACAAATGGCTGTTGCAGTCATATTTCTTTAATGTTTACTAGGTATTCCATATCGTTTAGAGCACAATTTATATCGTTTACTTATTTATGGCACACTGTGTGTACACACACACACCTAGCACAGCTGGTGAAAGTTTGTTTCTTGGCAATAAAAAAATATTTATTCCGCAAACTTGAGCATTTTGATCCGACAAAGGATGCAAGAATGAAATATTATTACATTGATTACAATATTCGTATTTCGTGTGCTGGTTTATT